GGTAGAAGCCACAAATCCAGACTCCCAACAGGGAATAATAGGAAGGCCATACACCACAAAATGCTGGTGAAATTCCCAGGCACTGGGAGAACACCCAGCAGACACCTCTGAAGGATGGAGAAAGAGCAGGCTGTAGAAGACAGCAACTAGATTCAACAGCCATAGCAATCTACGGTAGTGACAGCCTTGCTCAAGGGACCCCAGGCTTTCCTGGGCTCACCATCTGGAGGTACACTTTGCTCTGTGTTTGAAGAGGAGAGTGGGCTCACCAACAGCTTTTCCTCTTTGGTGCTCTAATCATTCAGAAGTCCCCCCTTCTGTGCAGAGCCAACAGCCCCCGTAGGTCCTTTCAACTTAGTCTTCAGCACATAACAGCAACTTTACCCGTCTCCCCTACTACTTATGATCTCCTTTCCTCAGCACCAGGACTGGGTAGGATTCATTTTTCTACCTCTAACCTCAGCCCAGAACCTGACACACAGAAAGGGCCCCAAGAATGGTTGCTGAATAAAACTGATCATTGGCGAGAAAGGAGGGAAAAAAATCATTTCAAGGAATACATTAATGCCTCAGTAAAGGAATCCTAGAATTTTTGAATTTAAGTTACCTTCTGCTTCTAAGAGTTGAGAATTCTCCATCTCTTAAATCATTCAGCCCACCCCAACTCACCAAGTATAAAGACAACAGAATAAAGTGAGATGTGGCTCAGTGCAGAGGCGGGCTCCCTGTCACTAAGGAACCTAGTTTTGAGCTGGTTGAGAACCCAGTCATCCTCACACCCTGCCCCCACGCTTATGCAGCAACATCCCAACTGCCCTGTGCCTGGCCCCGCTTTCCAAGTCAGCCAGACAAGAATAGAAGGTGCAGAATGATTCTGGAGATCCTTATGGTTCTTCTCTTATCTCTGAGACCCAGATGGCTTGCCAAATTCCAGAAAGATCAAGGACTTCTGGGGAATCCAGATTCCTAGCAATGCCTTGCTGACTCCAGACACAGAAGTTACAGGACTGGAATGAAAAGGGAGGGAACTGAATTCCTGCTATTCCTGTGTAACCTTGAAGAAGGAATAGTATCTTTTTGACCTTGCAGAAAACCCTTGTGATCAAGCCACCCAGGGCCTTGGAATGTGCAGAACTAATCCATAGCCTTAAGCCTAGCTCACCTGAAATCTTTGTCCTAGAAAGAATTAATCCAGAGAGTCATGAAACCCGTTCTAGTGTTTAAAGATTCCACCACACTGGTCCTGTATGTGTCCTGTGAGTACCTCTGCTGGCAAATCATGCCTCTACTGAGCCTGCTGAATAAGTCCGACTTCCACGTGCTCCAGAGCTGGGATGTGGACTAGGAGGGCTGAGTTCAGAAAGAATGCTAACCATTATCTGTCCTCCCTAACCAGGGAGAATGACTAGGCAGAGCAATTCAATTGCAGGAAAACTTCCAAGGCTAAAACCCAATGATCAGGATGGGGATTGCTGGGGTGGAGTGGGGCATAGGGGATTAAACGGTAATGGAAAAATATATAATAAAGATTACATAATAAAAAAATAAAACCCAATGATCAGGAAAAAAATCACCTAGGGGAGACACACAAGGAGAGGGGATGGTAAACCAGAGGTGAAGGCTTTCTGCACCACGGGCCTAACTCGACTCTTTTAAAGAGACTTGCTTGCTACTGAGGCCAGGTACGCAGATACTTAGCTGCTTTTATGGTCCCTGCAAGAACTGTGGCTCAGAAGCCACACTGGGTCAGAGGAATTGAGGCTTGACAAGCTGTCTCTTCCAAAAATCCCAGTCTTCTCTGAACTGATCCCTTATATCATCATTCAATCAAAAGTACCTTTAGAAAGCCTGTCAGATGACTACTCTACAGCTAGATACGTCATTTCTCCCAAAATTCAATGGGGTCGCTGGAGCCATTACTAAGGAAAATTTCCCAAGGTCCAACCAACTTACTACCTGTTCACAGATCACTCCTGCTGTAGGGAAATGAACAAGCAAGTGAGGGAAGCCTGACTTTCTGCAGTTTTCAGCTCTAATTCTGCTACCTGGGTTTCAGAGAGCCCCATAGAGTCTGGATCTGAGTCCCATAGACCAGATGTGCTTGACTCCAAATGTTGCTTCCAGCCCAGCCTCTCATTTGGCCCTGGGTTCATGGATCTCAGGCCTGGATGCTACTTCCTCCTCCAATGAATGCCACCTTATCACCTCGATTCTTATGGAATCATCCTCCTCTGTGGAAGACAGATGATTCTGGAAGGAGCAAATATGAGGACTGGGCTGTGCTGGGATGGTCTAATAATGTATTGCAGGCTCAAACATCCAACCTCACCTCCTTGGCTTCCTTCCTCCAGTAACACGGTCGGCGAACCCACCGCAGCTAGGGCCCTGCTCTTGACGGAGGGAGAAGGGCGGGGACTGAGCCATCCTGCCTGGAGCTGCCTCACCACATCAGGCCAGATCCTCCAAGGCTGGTCCGGGGTGAAGTCCCACGTGGAATCCCCTCCAGCCCCGGATCACCTGACCCCTCCCCCCGCGCAGAACTTACAAACGAATTCCAGAGTTGGGGGAGGGGAATATAGGCTTCATTCACTCCCAGCGGGCAGACAACCCCAGGAACGTTCACCTACATCCTAGTCAGGCTATGATCGGGAATCTGGTAAGAGCCCTAAGCCCGGGCTGAAGCAGGCGGGCGCCCTTACCCAATGCTGACTCCGGAGTGAGCCGGGGGCTCCCCGGATCCTTCGCAGGTGGGTAGCAGGACGTAGGGCTGGGGTCGACCCCACTGGCCTGCCTGCAGCGCTTGCGGAACTCGGGCAGGCCGGGTTAGGCCAAACGGGGCGGGGACCGGAGAGCCCCATCCGAATGGTCTGGACAAGAGAAAAAGGCCGATCCTAGCGCAGTCCAGTGCACCCGCCATGTGCACGGTACAGCCTGGGTAGACGCCTGGCTGTCTCTCTGTTTCCCCCAGCCGCCGCCTCAAGAGGACCGGCGGGAGGCGGAGCCGCGCGCGACACATGGCCCTGGCCCCGCGCGGCTTTGGGCCGCTGGCGGGGGGAGGGGGGAGGGGAGGGGCCGCCCGGGGACTCGCAGCGGAGGCTCCAAGCGGCCGGGAGAGCAGCTCCTGCGTCCAAGCCCCCGCCCCGGCGCGCTACCCGCAACACTCACCCGAGGGGCTGGCACGATGGCGGCAGCGGCGGCGGCAACCCAGCGCGGTCTGCGACCGACTGTCCCTTCCCCCCTGCCTTCCCTCGCCACCCCGCTGCACTCTGGGAAACGCAGTCCCCCCCGCCCTTCTTCTTGGCATAGGTGCTCCCGAAGAAAACTACAGTTCCCGGCGTGCTGTGCGCCGAGGCCCAGCCACAACCCGCCGGGCGGGAGGTGAGGCTGAACTAGGGAGGGAGGCTGCCGGGGCGAGCCCCTGAGAATTGTGGTCTAGCGGAAGCCTCTGGAACACCCGAGGTTGGCGCCAGGCGAGGGTCAGGGCTGTTGTCGCCAGGTCCCAGCTGGTCCGGCCCCACCCAGCCTGCGTAGCCGTCTGGGTTGGCCCCGCCTCCGTGGGATCCCAGCCTGGCTGGCCCCAAGCTAGCCCGGCCGCCCCTCCCTGGGCCCCTAGAGTGTTTCCGCTCACGAACCCCTCTTCTCTTTGGTGCTAGGGCGGCCCCTTCGGCTCGTTCCGAGGTGCTAAAGACCAGCTCGGGGCTTCTGCTGCCCCAACATTCGTGTGCCCCGCACACCGCCATTCTGGCCCAAAGCTGGTTTCAAGCTGGAGAGGCTTTCTTGGGGCTGTAGAATCTCAAGTGGGGCTCGGCCGGAGACAAATTTCTCTTAGACTTGTACAGTTGAAGTCTCCCAGACTCTCTTTTAAGATTTTCACTTCTATTGATGATCAAAGAGAAGCAACTGACTCACCCAAAGTTTCCCCGTGATTTAAACGACCAGATTGCCCTTTGCTTTGAGTCTCCATTTTAATTGTTTCCTGGGCAACACAAACATTGAAGGCCTGACTCTAGGTCTGGCCAGTTGATCAAAATGCCCTACAGCTAAACGAGGGGCGGAGGGAAGAGGGTGTTGGAACGACACAGGTAAGAAGCTTTACAAGGCCGCTTCTGGCAGTTCGTGCCTTCCCTTCTAGCCAGAGATCTCTCAGTACTCCTGTTCAACCAGAAGAGTTTTGCACCTTTACCAACCCCATCCCGCCCTCCTAGGGGATGGCTAGTAAGACTAGGCCAGGCTTATTAAATCCTAGGTCTGTACTGCTTTGCCTCATGCTTCTCGTTATTACTCAGCCAGTGAGAACTCTACATTGCTCTGCTTGTGGTACATCTGGGAACTGTCTAGCTTTGAGCTGTTGTCTCCACAAGAAACAAAAACACTGGATAGGTTGTGTACACATAACCTCCATACACTTAAGTCCTGGCCAGAGATGGCCCTCACACTTTCCTGGGAGTGCTGCTGAGAGGTTTATATGAGCCAAAGCAAAAACAGTGTTAAAGTCCCTTTAACAAACTGGAGCTAAAGGATACACCGAAGAGCTTGACCCGAGCCTGGGAAAGCCCTCACTCCTAGTGAAGGGAAGTGGGGACACATAAGAGACTAGCCCAATAGCTGCAGGCAAAGGGCTTCAGTCCCAGCTGGTTTGGAGGGGCAGAGAACCCTAGAAAAGCAGACAGATCCAGTCTCTTCCCCAAACAGGCACCTTCACAATCTATGCCCCACTCCTCTTCCTCACTTAAGACTTGTTTCTCAAGTCAGTGCCAAGGAAGAAAGCAAAGGCTGGGATACGTTTTAGAATCCTTTTAGTTTGATGCCACAGGGAAAGTCTCCAGGCAAGTGGCTTTTTCCTGAAGTAAAAGGGAATGATGTCTTCTGGAGCCCAAGAATTATGCCATTTGTGCCCAACACCCATAGTAAACAGGGCTAGCATTATAGGCATTTGCTTCTCCCCATTGGATTTGAGCAAAATTACTTGGAGCTCTAGATAAAAATGTCATCTCACCCCTACAATATCCAATCTTAAGAAAGATGGAAGCAGTCTAGAAAATAAGTCAAAGGATCACAAATCCCAACTCCTATTCCTACAAGCCTTCTATAGATCCAGCTCCTTCACACTGAAAGAGTACCAAGACCAAAGGTATTTATACAAGAGTCCTTGTGCCTGCAGGAACCACGGCTGGTTCCAACTGAGGTCTTCACTGATTTGAGTACTTGCATGCTCAAATGTGTCAGGCCCTGTACTAGGATAAGGGCTATACTGGTGACCTGAAAACTCATGAGGAATTCAAACCCCTCAGAGAAGTAGACTGTCACAATTCAGTTTAGTTCTCAGTTAGTTGCTCCTTCTCCCTGTTGAAAGGACACAAGCTGCTAACCCATGGACAAACTGGAACAGTTTGGTTTCCAAACTGGCAGGAGCTGAGCCAGAAAATCTGTGAGGACCCTAAAAGGCCAAGGTCCATGTGCTTATAACTCCTTTATGGAGAGACCATCTCTACTCCCAGGGTGAGCCTGGTCCCTGTGACCTAAGGCCGAAGCCTATTTCCCCATGTTTCAGGGCCACTTAGTTGAGTCCTTATACAAATAAAATAGCGAAACCCAAATAAAAACCTTACTTTCTGTTTAATTCATTTGCCAAACAAACACAGTGAAAACTTTAGTCTGACTAATTGTACAGAAAATAGAATTTGTAACCAGTAGCAAACATAACAAGATAAACCTAAGTCCCTGGCAAGCTGGATTTCCATCAGCATGTCACCTAGATCCCCTTGTAGGTGGCCTCCTGGGGAGGGAGGTCCTAGAAGACAGGCACAGATCTGCCAGTCCCCATCAGAATCACAGGCTGCACCTGGGAAAGAAAAGCATGAAAACAAGAACTGATGTCACTTGGCTCCCTTATCACTACACACAGAAACGTTGTCTCTGATTGCAGGCCAACCTCAAGGTGTTGTCTTCCCAAACCCATAGTCCTTGGGCATTCCACCTGCATCCCTAGAGGATAAGTTTCAAGTTCAGTGGTTCCTAAGCCTCTGCTTAACCTGAAACCGCAATATACACTGGGGGTGATGAGGTGAGAGAGAGGGAATAGACAAAGTCATAACTGCTGGTGTCACCAGTGCAGAGTCCGAGGTTCCAGACTTCAGGAGGAAACGAGGGTGCCAGGTAACCAGCAACAGTCCAGCTGCCCTAAGCCTCAATACAGTCAACCAGTGTCCCAGGAGCACAGAGCAGTTTGCAACAGCGGCCTGCAGGCTTCCTAGGCTGGCAGGGGCCAGGAAGTCCCACAGGCCACCGGGGGACCTGTTCACATTCCGTGCTTCTTACGGATGACAGCCATGGCCAGCAGTCGATCCTTCTCGCGGAGCTCTTCCCGCAGCTTGGCCTCCGTGAGACGCAGGTGGCGGATGCTGCCCTTCATCTCCTTCATTTTCACCTCCATCAGCGCCAGGATGTCCCGCTGCTCGTTCAGCTTGCGCAGCAGCTCCTCCTCCGTGGTGCCTGACGACAACGAGTACGAGTGGTCGGAACCCGTATCGGGGAAGCCCTCTTCCCCTACTACCACCAACTGGGGGCCCATAGGGCATTCAGCGGCCTCCAGCCCTGCGGTGGCAGCTTCTAGCTCCGACGCGGCGGCGGCGGCGGCTGCGCCCTCTGCGGCCGCGAACTCCACTTGCACCGTCAGATCGATGGGCTTCACATCTTCTCCGGTGGGAGGAGTGGGCGCCGGCGGCCCGGATCCAGGAGCCTGGCTGCTGTCTACAGCGGCCTGAAGGGTGAGGAGCACAGCCGCAGAGGCAGACACCAGGTTCGGCTGCAGCTGGGCGGTCTGGGCAGTGGAGGCTGACGGCGGCGGCGGCTGCTGCTGCTGTTGCTGCTGCTGTTGTTGCTGCTGCTGCTGCTGCTGCTGCTGCTGCTGCTGCCTGCGGCGGGCGGCTGCGGCCCCGGCGGGTCTGCGTGCTACCTTGCGCTCGTTAACGCCGCGCAGCGGAAAGATGGTAGGGACGCGCACCGTGTAGGTCTTGCGGCCGCCCTGGAAGTGTACGCTGCAGAGACGGTGACCCGTGGTGGGCTGGAAGGTGGAGAAGCATCCACTGACGCCAGCGCGAGACACGTTCTTGAGCCAGAGGCGCCGCAGCTCAGCGTCCTTGGGAAACGTATAGAAGTGCAGCGCCTTATCCCGATGCGAGTTGTTGTAGCAGCCCGGCACGCAACACGTAAAGCCAGGCATGGCTGCGCTGTGCGGCCCGGCCCGGCCCACCGCCTCCTGAGCCCTTCGACGGCCCGGTCGTCCACTGCCGTCTGCCCGCCCCTCGACGGGCGGCGCCGCGCGAGGCCTTAGCGGCTTCCCACTAGTTTCGCCCGGCGCGGCCGGCTGGCCCGGCGCCCCGCGCCCAGTATGAGCTTCCCGCCGGCCCGCGCCGCGCAGCCAGCCAGGCCGCCCGCCTGCGCTCGGGAGTCGGCCCCGGGGACGCCGCGAAGGACCGCCTGGGAAGGAGGACTACGCCCCCCACAATGCACCGCGCCAGAGGTCGCTCACTTCCGGAGTGGGGGTATGCTTATTCCGGCCGCTTTCTAAGTCACCGCGATGGCCCACGCGGAGCAGATTCTTTCCCCGACCTGGCTCAACCCGGTGAACTAAAGAGGCGTATTCGGTTCGGACGCTGTCGCCTGGACAGCTCTTTAAAAAGAACCGAAATCCTGACGGGGGTGGGGCGGCGCGCGCTCCTCCGGTGCGCAAGCGCCTTGAGCATACGCCACCGGAAACTACAGGTCCCGTAGTGCCCTGCGCTGAACTCGGCGGCTGTGGCATGGAGCGCCGCCTAAGGGAGAAGTCGAGTTACTGCTGACCAGGATTTGGGCGAGGTGGTGGTGCATTTCTGCGGGAGGAGGGTCGGGGGACTGGGCCTCAGTATCCCTAAAGACATTAGTATCCTTTTTCTCTTCTTTGGGTACTCTCTCCATACCCAGTTACTGCTTGCCTTTACTCACGTACCTACTGACCGAAACATCGTGACCAGGAGGCGCCTACTGTGTGCCAGGCACAGTGCCAGGAGTTTGGAACCTTACAGGAGCCAGACAGACCACACCTGACCACCTAGAGGGATGAGGGCCAGACTTTTGGATAATAGATGTGAATGAACGTGCATGAATGTCTAGTTACAGAAATAAACCCTCCGGAGGAATGAACTAGAGGAGAAAATGGGAAGTGGAGGGCCTGGAAGAAAACACGAGGAAAAGTTTGGGTGGGGAGGAGTAGCTACTTCTCGCCCCGGAAACCAGCCCCTAAAGCAAGAAAAGAGCTAGGCTCCTCGCTTCAAGTGCTTAGAAGGGGGCGGCCGGGGTAGGAGAAGCTGCCAAAAGGTAGCAAACTGAGCCATTAAAAGATTTGGGCTTTTAATCTGCTGGCGACTGAGACCTGTTAAAAGGTGTCAAACAAGAGGATGGAAAGAATTTGTATTTTAAAAGAAACTTCCCTTCTCCCTCTACTTCTATGGGAAAAATATTCTAAAGGGCAAGAGAAGCTGTGGAAAAACCAGAGAGGAGGCCAGGCAGTCGTCCAGGGGAATTACCTGCAACCTAGTCCTCCTTTGTGGAGTTCCCCTTTGTCCTACTTCTGGCTCTTTACCTTCTTCCTGACTCCTCCTCCTCGATTTGTTGTCATTGTTATTGTTGTTTTCCTCTCTCCTGATTACAGACCGCGGGTACTAAATTGAAGCCTAATATATATTATTTGTAATTATTTGATATAAAACAAAATAGATTGAGCATTTAAAAGCTCGTAAAAGAAAATAACATTCCAAGCTAAGATTTTTGTTAGTTTGTTTTAGTTTCCTGTTCTTTATTATGAAAAGGATCCAGAGCTAAAATGTTCTAGAAAAATACAGGACAATGGGGGAAAAAATGGGTTTCATAGTCCCATTACAGGAGAATGTCCCATTGCTCCTGGCCTATTCAGCTGATATCCACAGCTTGAATCCCTTCAAATTCAGAAATGCATTCTCTGGTATGTATAGCCATAGTGAAAGATGTGCATTCATTTGTACGATGATAAAAATATGAATACACACTTTGCTATGGTGAAATGTTTATAAAATGTGTATAGTAGAGATAAAATTTAGCAAAAGCTTATTGCATATATTAGTATTTTCAGTGTCATACAGTTACTAATATGGTTCTACTCCTACCTGTCTCAAGACCTACCTTGCTCAAGAAATATTGGAGGACAAACTGATACAGTTTCTTTATATACAGAACATTGAAGATTATGCTTGATAAAATTCTACCTTCTGGTACATAAAATCACCTCTTATCTACACTTAATCTTCTGCACTCAAAACATACCTGGAAATGCATGGCTTTCTCCCTACCCCACTGCCCTGCCTGCACTTTATCTTGTCACCTCTGAGAAAGGCAAAAACCTGTCATATGTCTCCCTACCTCCAATCGTGCCTCTCCTACATTCTTGTTCTCCATGTGACTGCCAAAGAAAATATGATTACATAATGTCTCTGCTTAAATCCCTCCAGTGGCCTACTGCATTTATAGTAATGTCCGAAGTTCTTTCTAGAGCCTGTGAGACCTCACGTGATGTGGCTCTTGCCAATCTCTCACTCTTCCTTGCCTCATTTTGGGAGCCCAGTGTTTTGTTTTGTTTCTTTTTAAACAAATAGTGAAACCCTGGCTGCTGTGGCTCAGTGGATTGAGTGCCAGCCTGCAAAACAAAGTCTCAGGTTCGATTCCCTGTCAGGGCACATGCCTGAGTTGCAGGCCAGAGGCAACCACACATTGATGTTTCCCTCTCTTTCTCCCTTCCTTCCCCTCTCTCTAAAAATAAATAAATAAAATTTAAAAAATACACATATTAAACAAATAGTAAATATAAAGTTTAATTGACTATGTAAATATTGTGCAAAAGTAAGTTTAGTTTGCATCTCAAACTGTTTTGAAAAGATTTTTTTTTCATATTATCCAGTTCAAAGCTTTACAATAAATAAATAAATAAATAAGTAGATTATTTACGTGGTGGCCATGGAAATGTGCCTGCAAAGGGCTAGCAAATTCAGTGAGATGTCACAGAGGTCAGATCTTAATAACAAGAAATATTGATAAGCTTTTTCTCTGCAGTTCTTATTTTGAGAAGCAAAAATCTTATTTTTTTTATTGATTCTTAGAGAGAGAAAGGATGGAAGAGAGAAAAATCAATTTGTAGTTCCACTTATTTATGCATTCATTGGTTGACGTATGTGTCCTGACTGGGAGTTGAACCCACAACCTTGGTGTATTGGGATACTCTAACCAACTGACCTACCTGGTCAGGACAAGAATCTAATTTTTCCCTCTGCTTTATTTTTTAACACAAGCACAAATACACCCATGGGTATTCAAGTAACTCGATTACACTCGGTTTTAGAGCAAAAAGAGGAACAAGGTGGGAGCCTCAGAACTCAAGTTCTACATCAGATCTCCAGAACACAAGATATGGGAGACGTCAATGGGTGAGAAATATGGTAATAGAGTCTCCAGCATTAATAGAACTTTTGAAAGGGGTCTTCATCTCAAAATTGCACATATTCTGACAAATCACACAAAGCCCATGAGCCCCCAATTCTTGCAAACTGGTCTCTTTTGATAGATAATGAGCCTACAGGTGGAGTGGTCTTTACAAATGCAAATCTGGCCAAATCATCTGTAGGATGAGATTATTTTTCCCTCCCCCAAGTATGTCTCTTCACCTTCAGAGAGCCAGATGGGAATGAGAGAGATTGGGGGACAGGGGTAGGGGCGGGGGGGGGGGGGGGAAGCGGGGAATGAGAAATACTAATAATGACCACCAAGGAGGGTAGAGGGCGCTGGGCGGATGGGGGGCAAAGGCAGTGGGGACGGGGCGGGGGGGCATCAGTAATAGTGCCAACAATTAAAAAAAATAAAGTAAGCCCTGACCGCTGTGCCTCAGTTGTTTGGGCATCATCCTGCAAACTGCAAGGGTCCTTGTTGAATTCCTGGCACATGCCTAGGTTGCAGTTCGGTTCGGACTGGGTGCCTACGAGAGGCGACCGATCGAGGTTTCTCGCTCTCACACTGATGTTTCTCTCTTCTTTCTCTCTCCCTTCTCCTCTCTCTAAAAGTAAATAAATAAAATCTTCAAAAGAAGTTTATAAAAAAAATAAAATTACAGGTTTTATTTTAAAAAGTGACCACCATTCATTGATGGCCTGACTTCATATGTGTCAAATCCTGAGTTAAACATTATCTCATTGACTCATAACAAGCCCGTTATTAGGTGGGTATCATCCTCAATTTACAGATGAGAAAACCAAGCTTCAACTGTTTGCACACATTTGCCCAGGCTCACTCCCTGGTATAAACTGCCTCCAAATTCGGCGTTTGCAGCCACCTTTGTCTACGCCCCGGGCCACTGGGAGGCAGAGCTGAAACTGCAATTCCCGTGGAGCTGTGCGGCAGCCTCGCGAGGATAGGCTTAAATGCGGCGGCGGGAAGTCGGCGGTCACAGTTACCCGAGCAGCTGGGAAGCGAACTTGCGAGGCGATGGCGGACAGTTACGTCTCTGACAATGAGCCTACGACGCGTACGCTGCTGCGGCGCGTGCTGGATACAGAGGACCCGCACACCCCGCGGCGACGGCAAAGTACTCGGGCTAGGTATGTGAGGGCACTGCCCGAAGCCCGTGAGCAACCGGAGGGACTGGCGGGTGGAGCCACGGTGTGATCCGGCTCTGACCCCGTTTGGAGCAGGAAACAGTCTCAGAGAACTGGTTCCATGCCCATTGGTAGGCTCGGGTCGTTTGTTCGTGCCCCCTTCCGCAGAACTCCAGGCCGCCAGGTCTCGGGATCAGAGTTCAACTATGCCCGCGTTTCAGGTGGTCCGCCTCTGGAAGTGAAGGATAGGCGCTCAGAATTCGGCCTTCTCCCCTGTTCCCTAGGCCACTTTATCCCAAACCAGCCCAGAGCGTGTCGAGACATGTGCCCTGAACTACCCAGGTGGTTCCTCCTTTCCCTGCCACATTCAGTCCTACTGTCCTTGTACTTCCCAGCCGGCAGGTGGGAAAGGCGCTGGAGAGCACAGCCTGGGCACAAGTCGGGAGGCAGGAACTGCAAAGGTTCTTTGCTAGGGAACACGAATTTGGCCTGACTTGGTGGGAGTGTCGGCCGGTGAAGGCTGTGGTGAAGCTCATGGTGCAGAGGGTGTGGTAGTTGGCATCTGCCAGGCTGGGGTGGTGCAGTTCCTTTATAGGCAATGGAAAGTCATTCGTTACAACAAAGGTTTTAGACCTATGCTGATGAGGTGGGAGCTGTGCTCTGGGAACATTTATGTGGTTCCGGAATCTGAGAGAGAGTGGACTGGAGATACTAGGCCTAGAGTGATCCATGTGGAGGTTGCTGTCAGACCCTGACAAGTACCTAAAAGGTTGAAAAGTATTTAAATGTTTTTCTTGGATTATTTTTAAAAGATTTTATTTATTTTTAGAGAGAGGGGAAGTGAGGGAGAAAGAGAGGGAGAGAAACATCCATGTGTGGTTGCATCTCGCGGGTGCACATCCCACTGGGGGGACCTGGCCTGCAACCCAGGCACGTGCCCTGACTGGGAATCAAACCAGCAACCCCTTGGTTTGCAGGCCAACACTCAATCCACTGAGCCAAGCCAGCCAGGGCTCTTCGATTATTTTAATGACTAGAATGGATATCTTCAAATTATTTCTCTTACCTGTGTGACTAATGCCTATTTCTGCCAAAGTCACCTCTGTAAAGCCTTCCTTAACCCCTCTCTGTGACTAGGTCATCATATTCTATTCCCATACCCCTTGGGCTCCTTTTCATCCACAACCCTAGTGACATAGAGCTGGGAACTGGCTATGGAAAGGACAAGTGGTTTCTGGGTGCTTGGCACAGAGGGAAGATGTCTTCAGGCCAAGATCCCTGATGAAGACATGTTTCTGCATCCTATCTAGTTCCCCCTCCCTGCACAACTCCCAGAGCCGCTTGTCTTTATACAGTGCCCAGAGAACCCCGCTTGAAACACCTTTCTCTATGAGGCTGAGGAGCCAAACAAAGACAACTGCCAGCCGGCGTTCCCATAGAGCCAGGGTAAGTGCCCAATTCACTGACCACTGTAGGGCTCTGGCTGCCTTTAGGGGACCCTGAGGTCTAGCTCTATTCTGGAGCCCACCTTGAGGGAATCTCAAGGCAAAGGAATAGACTGTTTGCTTGGTGCTTTTGCCCAAAGTCTGTTGGCAGATTGGCCCACATTCAAACCAGTGGACATCTGAAGGAACAGACACCCCGGACTCTGCTTGAGAATATTCTACTCACTGGTGAGTGAGCACTGGTCTGCTGGTCAGAGTCCGGGCCCATGGTATCCCTTATTTAGGGCAGCATGCTCTGTTAGCTCTACCCTCTTCTTATTTTTACAGCACCGGAATCTTCCATGGTCATGCCCGAGTCAGTAGTGAAGCCAGTGCCAGCACCACCGCTGGTCCAGTCCTCTAGCCGGGAAAGCAGTCCAGGCAGGTACACAGTGAGTTCTTTCCCTTTGCGGTTGGGCTGCTAGGCAGTTCTGATCAGGAAGCCTCTTGGGGGTCTCAAAAGCTGTATTTGGGCTTTCTGGCCTGTCTGAGATTAGCTCCATCCTTATAGCCTGGAGCTACATCTCCCTGAGTTCAAAACCCCCACAACGCTGGCTCCAAGTCTGCTGGCTACTGGCAAGAGGAAGCAGAGGTTGAGATTGTCAGTGTTTCAGCAAGGAATGGATCAGGGGCCACCTCTCTCCCCAGGTAAGACCCTGGACAACACCTATAGCCACCTTCTCTCTCCTGTCCTCTGTAGAGGCTTAGAAGGCCTGAGAGAGGCCTATCATAAGCCTGTGTAACTTACAGTTTCTTCTTTTTTAGGTCCTCTTACAAAACTTCATGGGAATGCTGGTGCCTCCTCCCTCACCAGGTGCTATTGCCTCTTCTGGGGTTTGGGGGAAAGGTGCTGACTGGAATGGATTCTGGCCATATTGCTCCCTGCCGATTTTGGCGTCACAGCATGGTAGCTGTGTTCTGAAAGATGAGAGCACGAAGGCAGATGGAGAACTCGGGTCGGTGGGCTAGGCCTTCGGTAGCTGACTTTCCTTTCTTCCTCCTCTCTTCTACCAGCTCCCTCAACCTGACCTTTGCCACACCTCCCCTACCACAATCCGTGCGGAGGCCTGGTTTGGCCCGCAGACCTCCTAGACGCCCAGCAGTAGATGTGGGTACATTTTTGCAGGACCTGCAAGATACTTGTGCAGCCTTGGCTCTTCCAGGTAGGGTTGAGATTTCCCTTTTCTAGACTGGGGGGAAAGTTCTCCTCCTGTGAGATAGGATGTGCTGCTGTGTCCAGGATTGTTCCCCTCTTCATTGGGTCAAGGATAATGAAGAAACCTGGCCAGTAGGTCTGTAAGAAGTTTCTGCTTCTTTCCATAAGGTGCCTTTGTCTTGGTGGTTCCTAGTCTTAATCCCTCAGGTTTTTCCAGGACCCCATATCTTTGAGGGTAGAAAAGGGGTGGCTAGAGCTTGTTGGGAGGTTGAAAGGGGCCAAGTTTCAGGATCAGCTGGTCAGTCAAACTGACCTGGGAACCTGGTACCAGAAGACAAGTCACCAGGGCAAGAGGAGGATTCCAGGCAGAGGGGGAAGTCGAGAGTGGAGGCGTGGGTGCGCAATTTGGGTGGGGCAAGCTGTGAAGCCTGGGAATGCCAGCTTGAGCAGGAAAGTAAGTAGGGAGAGTTGTATTAGAGAGGTAAGAGAGGGCTATGTAGTCTCTCTCTGAAGGCTACTTGGGGCAGACTTATAGGGCCCACTTATAGCCAGGCCCTGGTGACCAGGTAGCAGCAGGTGACCAGTGGGCCCGGAGTATACTGGGTGCCATCTGGCCCTTGATGTCCAGGTGACAGCCTCAGAACTCCTGCTGCTACCCTGCCAACGGACACCGTGCTGGAGGACACCCAGCCCTTCTCCCAGCCTCTGATTGGCCCTTCCCCCAGTGTGCACCACTCCCTCCCCTGCCCCTCTTTCTCTGCTGAGAGGACTGTCAGTCACAGGGCGCGGAGCAGTGGGCCTGGGCTGCCGAACAACAGTGAGTATGTGGGACAGGTGGCCTGGAGCCGGGCCAAGCTTGGGCAAGAGTTGGCACTGGTAGTTTTCCCTCCTCAGGACCATATGTGTGCCCCTCAGAGTCCGATGGCTGCTGGTTTCTCCTCCATCCAAGTGTGGAGTCAGTGTTAGGCCATGAGACTCCAAACGAGTACCCTGAGGCTGCCCTTGGCCTCTCCTTGATAGGCTCGGCTGGTTTTACTACTCCATCTTTACACTTCTCAGGGCTAGAGCCTTGGCCTACTACTTCTGTAGCCTGTATTCTTTCCCCTTGATTCAGGTACTGGCAAACCAGCCCCACTTCTGGTAGGAAAGGCAGAGGGGGTTGATGCCCTTGCTAAGGGCTTCCCAAACACCAGCAATAGTCTCTCTGGAGAAGATGGACTACAGCCCTTACAGGATGGAGTTGGTGAGGAGGTAGAGGAAGTAATGGAAGAAAGCTTGAGCATGAGCGATGTGAAGGAGGCAGCAGGAGCACAGGGGTCTGCCAGAGCAGAAGAGCCGGAAAGGCACCAAGAAGTGATAGAAGCAGAGAGATCCTGGGGGGCCATTGAGGCCAAGAAGCCAGAAGCATCTCCAGGGGATGAGGACACCCCTGGTAGGACAGGTAAAGGGCCCCATGCAGGGATCAGGGGGTGAGTGGGTAAGTGAGAGTCTTTGGCCTTGGAGGAGGGCCTTACTGGGGTGTTTTTTGAGCACAGGTAATGTTAGGGGACTCTGAGGTGCCCCTTGCTCGACTGGCCAGAACTAGATGGGGCCCTTGATGACCAGGACAAGGAGGCTGTGGGCCTTCAGGATTGTGTGAAATGGTTAGGTCTGAGCCCCTTATAACCCTGTCCTTTCTCTATAGGAAGTCCAGAATTGACCTCCGCCACCCTGGAGATTCAGCAGGCCAGGCAACTTGCGTTTCTTGAGCCAGCCCCACCAACTAGCACTACAGTGTAAGATCCCATGACCCTGTTCCACATGGGCTTCTTGGGAAGGGGCAGGCACTGAGGTTGGCATTGGGTACCACCTGGTTATCCCTCTTCCTACAGGTGTGCAGATAATTACCCAGCAAAGCATCTTAGGTGGGCTGGATGGTGCTCACTGAAAGCACATCTGTCATCCTATGTCTGCTTCCAGGGGCTTAGAGGAGCCTGGGTAGGCGGAAGTGGCTAGGTCAGAGGAGGTTTTCTGGAGGAGGCTTAGCAGAACCAGACAGGCAGCAGTGGGCTGAGGGGTGGGGATGTCCATGCTGAGGCCTGAGGGACATGGGCCTGAGCAAATAACAGTTTGTATGATGAGGCTAGACTGGAGGATCAGAGCCCCAAGGAAAAGCAAGGCATCTATGTGGCCCCTTGTCGCGATCCCCCTCCCAGCAGATGGTTGAGCAAAGGTCCAGGTTGGCAAAGGGGCACGAAGGCCCCAGTCTTGTCCGGAGCCAGCAAAATTTATCTTTGATTAGGCGCTTCTTCAGGCAGCAGTCCATTCCTGCTCCCAGCTTATCTTCAGAGCCTTTGGAGCCTCTGTCAGCCAAGTGTCCTCCCAGGGCCCAAACTGCTGGCCCCAGACTCCGTCGAGATCCTTACAAGACTGGACTGAACCACTATGCTAAGCTCTTCAGCTTCTATGCTAAAATGCCCATGGAGAAGAAGGCTCTTGAGATGGTGGAGAAGTGGTGAGTCCCGGACCCTGGGGTGGGGAGAGGAGCTCCTCAGATCAAAATAGTCTGTTCATTCTGTTCTACCCCAACCTTCTCGGCAGCCTGGACAGGTATTTTCAACATCTTTGTGATGACTTGGAAGTATTTGCTGCTCATGCTGGCCGCAAGACTGTGAAGCCAGAGGACCTGGAGCTGCTCATGCGACGGTAAGTTGGTGGAAGCAGGGAGGTTCTGGCTGTGGGAATGCTGATGCTGATACTGATTCTCTCTGTCCTCTTCTGCTGCAGGCAGGGCCTAGTCACTGACCAAGTCTCCCTTCATGTGCTTGTGGAGCAGCACCTGCCCCTGCAGTACCGGCAGCTCCTCATCCCTTGTGCATTCAGTGGCAACACTGTCTTCCCTGCCCAGTAGTGGTCAGGCCTTGACACCTGTCCTGTCCCCACCAGGGGCCCCTTGGCTCCACATGCTCTTACAGGTCTCCTCCCCACACCCCACCATCAATAAAGTGTCACAAACATAATATGCTGCGTTTTGATACGTATCCTGGAGCCAGTCAGGCAGAGGCCAGCCCCCTCCCCTTGACACCTCAGCATAACCTGGAGAATAGCATGGGTTCAGACAAACAATTTTATACCGAATATCAGGGGTTCGCTGCCCACAGCGGCCCTAGCTTGTAGGCTCCTGCTCCCGAGGTCCCCTGCGCCTGATGTCAATCATGTGAAGCCGTTCCAGAACAGTCTGGAGCTGCATCACAATGTCCGCTTCCTTCTCCTCATTCTCCTCTGGCAGTTCTGTCAGAGGGACCTGGAAGGCTTGGCTCAAATAGCTGTTCAGGGTCTGCTTGTCCAGGCTGGGATCGATGATCATCAGTGTCTCACGTACCTTGGGTAGGGTCACTTCATCATGGCTACCCCACAAGGAAAGAGAGATAGGCCTTGATACTGCCCCCAACCCTGCACTCCAGACCCCAAGATGCCTTCTGCCAGGTTTGAGCAATATATAGTGCCCAGCAGCAAGCTCAGTCTACAGGGAGACCAGGGGCGTGAGATGCTACTTTGTGGCCCAGCCTATGGGACTTGCCTATGGCTAAGTGGGCCTAAGGGCCCCAGGGTCACTCACAGTTCCAGGCCCAGTTCCTGCTTTAGCTCCTGTAAGTACTCATCCTTTTCATCCATGTATTGTTCCCACAGCTTTTGTACAAAGGGCATACTCTGGCCCTCCTCATCCTGGGAGGGACCACAAGACAGGGTGATGGCACCTGGGCTAGGGCCTAGCAAAGGCTAGGGCAGGACTGGGCAAGTTCCTGGACCCCCACCCACCCACCTCTGTAAACAGTGAGGGGTAGCTGAGCAAGTCTGCATTGCTGCTGTTGGGATGCCAGCCCCCTGCCTCCATCAGCTCCTGAATTTTCTCCTCCTTCTTCAAGGGGAAGGAGCTCTTGAGGACAGTGCTGTAGGGAAACACAAGGACCTGGCTGAGGGCTGTCCACACGTCTGCCTGCACCCTTTTTCTAGCCCTACTAGCCCTCAAAAGGGTAGCCAGCATTGAGGCTGTGGCCCTTCCCACTAGGTTCCTTTCCCCCTGTACATCTGGGAGCCTGGCCAGAGGACATGGCGGGCGGGACTTTGAGGTAGCCTGGCCAGCCTCTCACCTTAACTGCTCCATACTTAGTAGCCCCTCGTTCTGACTGTCAACATTTGTCATCTCCTTCAGCAGCTGGGTTACTGTCTCTTTCTGCTTGATATAAACACTTTCGCTCATCTGCAGGGAGGAAGCAATGACTGACTTGCTCCTTCTTGGAGTGGTAGAGACAGAGCCGATCTATGCTGGGGAAAAAGGGTGGGGAGCCAGACCCAAGCTCACTTTTTCCATCAGGATTGCATAGAACTGAGTCATGATCTCATTGGAGTGGAAGAGCTTAATATTTTCAAAAATGGTGTAAGCCCAGGCCATGGCATCTGCACGCCCAAATCGACGCTCCAGGAAATTGAAGAAGAAATCTGGGAACTCCTCTTTCTGCAGAGTAGGGGAAGACTGCTTCGTTAGCCATCCCACAGTTTGGTGGCCCTCCACCCTGCTCCCTAGCACCTTGAGGGAACCTGGCCAGAATGGCTGGTGAGGTCTGACCTGCTCCTCAGCAAGACGTTCCTTCCAGGCATCCTTGAGGATGTTTATCACATCCTTCTTTGTTGGTTTCTTGTTCTCCACAACACCGTCAAACCGAAGAAAAGTGGGGACAGATTCCTCATAACCCTGGAAGGGAGAATGTCAGCTCCTCACTGAGCCCATCTGTGGCCCCACCCCCAAGCAAGGCAGAGCCCAAGAGGGTTCCCCCAAAACCTCAAGTCTCAGCAGAAAGGCCTGGCCATTCTGACTCTGGCCACAAGCCGCCTGAGCCAAGGGACTCCCCTACCAGACCAGGGAAGAAGTCTTTCTCCCGGAGCAGCCCCTCGCCAATCTCCTCCAGGAGCACATCCACAAGCTGGTCACTGTTCTTGCCCTGGGCCAGCATGTGCCAGCGGTCTGGGCCCCCAGCCACCACACCTGCAAGTGGAGAGAGGAAGGTGGGGTCTGGACCGCACACTTGAGCAGCAATCCCTGGGACCCCAATTACCTCCAACGGCTATCATTACCTTCGCATCTGGTCCAGTTAGGCCGTGGTGTGGAGGTGCGCTGGATTTCCTGCAGCTCAGAATAAAACTGGTCCCGCTCCTTTACCGTGCTCATGTGCAACTGCAGCAGTATCTCATGCTCCTTGCGGACCTCTTCATAGTCGTCTCTCAGGCTGTCCAGCTGTGGGCAAGGTGATTGGTCCTTGCTACCCACCTGCATGACCCTGTCCTACCCAACCTGGCCTGCCTGCCCACCAGCACCTGTTCCTGAAGATCCTTGTTGGTCTTCTCCTGCATTTCAAAGTCCCTCCTGGGTACCACATCTCCAAAGTTGGCCTTCATGGTGTTGAGCTCCATCTGCGTGCGTGCCAGATCTTGCCGGGTCATCTTCAGAGCCAGTGTTAACTTCACAGGGTCCTCTCCCCAGATGCCTACCAGGGGGCCTGCCAGCTCGAATCACCATGGCTCTGGGGCCTGCAGCCCAGGTTAGAGTGTCCCTCAGGGTGTATCCCAGGTCCTTCTGCTCTTCCTGCTTGGGAACCCCTGGGTCTTCCCCCCGCCGGGCGACCAGCCCATGGCTGAAGACTTAAATGGAGAAGCCCAAGACAAGGGATACCAGGTCTGTCCTGCCCTCATGGACAATTTCTGCCTCAGCTGCCAGAAATTGTTTCCTACTGAAACAATGAGTCTATGATTCTCAGTCCAGCTCAGAAGAGCCACAGATCCAGGTGGCAGCAAACATTTCCCATCATGAATGGTCACAAAATGAGCAAGTATTAGGAGAGTTAAATAAATGGGGGTGAGGAATGGGGGCAATTCTCCAGCACCTCCTCAAGGGAGAAAAACCCACCTCCAGCTTACCTGGGGACTGGGCTAGGGACATGTCTTCCCGCTGGTACCGTAGCTCATTCAGGTCTGCAATGAGGATCTTGCGGGCATCTCGCTCGGTGAGGTAGCGCAGGTACTCCTCAGCCAAATTCTTCCTCAGTTTGGTCACCTGTTGGGAAGGTGCTGCATGGTCAGGGGCTGCCTTTGGACCCCTGTATGCAGCTAGTCACTATGTGGGATGGGATGTGTGTGGGGTGGCCCCATCAAGGTCTGGGAACAAGAAAGCTAGAGGAAGAGGGAGACTGGCCATTCCTGAGAATCAGCAAAGTGCCGGTGTGTCCTGTGGAGAAAGTCTGGCAGTAAAGGAGCAGAGCTCTGCTGGCATTTGGGGCCACACTGAGCCAGTGCTGAGTCAAGACAGAGTGTGGGGGTAGTAGTGGCTCTGGGGAGGTGGTGGCTCAGTATGTCATTCCAAGTAGAAGAACGAAGGGAGTTAGCGGGTTACCTCAGCACCCAAGGCCTGGGGTCACCCCTGGGATGGCAGGGATTCAGGGAGTTGGTCACCATACCGCTCCGTTTCACCTCACTCTGCAATGAGATCTTCTCCTCATTCTTTTTGTCAATAAGTTTTAGCAAATTCATCTTCTCCTTCTTTAGCACAGAAATTTCAGCTCTCTCTTCCGCCCTCATGGCCAGGATCCTTTCGTTGCATTCCTCTTTCACAGTGACAAGCTTGGCCTTGAGGGGTTCCAAAGCCTGAATCTTCTCCCTCTGGTGGGCTAAGCAGGGACAGGTGGGAGAGAGTCTTTGGGGCCATGGAAAACAGCCAGGAGACACTGGTCTTAAGGTCTCAGTGAGTGGCTATGTCCCCTACAAACTCCAAGAATCTATTCATCCCTCATTCAAAGCATGGTCCCTGCTTAAGGTCTTCCTGCACTTGCTTTTAAGCCAAGGGCACAGCCCAGATGAGAACTGGGGGCTCACCTATGCCCTTTTCCCCCTACAGCCTTTAGTCTCACAGCTGCACCGTGCCTGGCACCTCCTGAGCATGGTGGAGGAGGGGGAGCCTCCTTGCTTCCCGGAAGCACTCCCTCTGTTCCTGGACTCACTCTCAATAGAAAAGGTCCTTTATTTCTTACAGATACTGCCCCACTATGCTTCCCAAGGATAGGAGAGGGTCAGCTGCCCTATCTCAGGATGGTGGAGGCAAAAAGGCTAAGCAGGGCTTGGTGGCCTCAAGGCTCAGTGAGTAGCTGCCCCCACACTGCTGCAGAGCCCCGGAAGGTCAGAGGAGGATCCTCTCTGCCTCTTCCAGTCTGGGTCCAAGCAGCTTGGCTACAGTCTTACCCAGCATCGTCTCATATGCATTCTTGATGGAGGATAGCAATGGTTTGTATGATCTGAAGTCCTCTATGAAGAACTCAAAGATTTCTCTGTAAGGCTGGCAAGAAAAGGGTATCTGTCACCTCCTGACCTATACCTGCCTCCCTCAGTGGGACCTGTTTTTCTTTACTTGGCTTAGAAGTATCGTAGCATGAAGCTGCCAGGTGACCCACATTCAAATAAATGCCCCAGGCACCACCTGCGTCTCTCACAGTGCCAGGGACGAGGGACAGTTCTGTTTCTCTCAGCTGCTGTCCAGAGTCCTTTCCTGGTGCTGTCTCTGAGACCTGGTAGATGACCTGGGTCAGGACTTCCCGCTCTGTACCTGAGCCCTATCTCTGGATCTCCAGGAAGCCAGCCTCCATACACTATGCCTCACCTGGCCTCCCACCAGCACCCACCCACCCACCCACCCCCATCTTATAGCCCTTTGGGAGCAGAAGGTTGAAAGGTCTAGCCTTGCATTCTGGTAGTATAAGGAGAGGTTCCCAAATCAGCCGAGTTTGAATCCCAGTGCCACCACTTCCTAAGCCTATGCCTTATTCGAGTTCCTGCTTCCTTGGGGAGGTGAGTTCAGCCTGTGAGCTC